TTTTTTTTTTTTTTTTTTTTTTTTTTTTTTTTTTTTTTTTTTTTTTTTTTTTAATACATCATGTGACACATGTAGCATAAATAAGCCACATGAACCTATTTTATTAAAATTAATTCTAAATTAAATGAAATTCAATGGTTTTTACATCAACCAAACCACATGGTGGATGGTAACCATTTTTAATACCACATGCTGGCTATCATAAATAAATAAACATTCAAATATCATTTTAGTCCTATATTTTGTTTTATTTCATTTCAATCCTTATACTTCAATCAACTTAAAATCTAAGCTGTGTCTTTTTATTCAACTAATTTTGATAAAAAAAAAAAAAATAATAAATCCAAACCAACTAATTTTAAGACTTTTTGAAAGTATAGGGACTAAAGTAGAATAAAGCCAAAATACATCGACTAAAATGCTATTTTTCTAATTCTATTTTAGTGTTTGGTAATTTTTTTTCACGTATAGCCATCATTTTTTTACTTATTTAGATCGTATAAAATAAAATAATAAACTAAAAATAAATAAACCAGAAGACAATATGAATAATATGGAAGAAAATTGTAATGAAGCAGACAATAAGCAACTTTTAGCAGAAAAAAGCATACCTTTGTACACGTCAAGAAGAAATTCTTGCTTCTTGAGAGTAAGCAGGTACACGTGTCAATCAAATTCCAGCACAGCATGTCTGTCTCCTCCAGCATGGCAGCTTCTACCTCGACAAAGCGAAATGCCAATATAGTCAAATCATATAAAGAGAGTGCAAAACACTTAAAATCAGAGCAGCATCAATCACCAGTAGGTCTAATTATATTATTTTAAGGATTGGAAAAGACCCACTTCCTCTTCGTTTCCAAACCCCACCAAAAAGATGGGGATTCGGACTAGCTAGTAATTTCATCCTGCCGACAAGAACACAAAAAGGTCTTAACTTACATTACTGGCTTCCATCCTAGTGAGGCTATCGAATTCAACGGAGAATCATTCAGTCAAGTGCTCTATATCTCATATGCTCGAATACGATCTCTATTGAAATAATCTCACATCAACTATCGAACAAAGAAATTATGAGTCTCGAAAGTGTAGTCAAAACGTGACTCAAGTGTCGAACGAAGAGTATACTTAGTTTGAGAACTCCAGAGAAAGGAGTCGAGCCTCAATTAAGGGGAGGCTATTCGAGGAATTCATAGGCCTCAGGGCAAGCTCTATAATGTATACTTTGTTTAAGGGGAAGATTGTTGGTGGGGGAGTCCCACATCGGTTAATGAAGGGGATGATCATGAGTTTATAAGTAAATAATACATCTCTATTGGTACGAGGCCTTTTGGGGAAACTAAAAGTAAAGCCACGAGAACTTATGATCAAAGTCGACAATATCATACCATTGTGAAGGTTAATTGTTATTAGTAACAATCAAGTCCAGAAACTAAAAGTAAAGCCACGAGAACTTATGATCAAAGTCGACAATATCATACCATTGTGAAGGTTAATTGTTATTAGTAACGATCAAGTCCAGTTCTGGGCAACATGCAGTTCAGATTCCAGCTCCACAATTTGACTCTCCTGCGGTTCAATAAGCAAATGGCAGTTTCTGATCCAGTTCAGCTGGTACCTCCATGCGATAGATAAGCATAAGCATGTAATTCACTAGATGAAACCTTGACCTGCAATACTTGGAAGGCAAAATACCAACTAAATCAAATTAACACAAATTTCTAATCGTTCTATCAGTTATGAACCAAGATCTGCTTGAAAATTCTGAACTTTTATAGTTCCTGTGTTTCAAATTATTCATCCACCATTACAATGGAGATGGGTTTAGTTGAAACATTAATGCAACAGAAAGGAAAGGGTGTGCACCATGAACACTTAAAAGAATGTGAGCATGTAACCAGAAATTAGACATTCCTACAAGACATTGAAGGTAAATACTGCAAGTTCCCATTCTAAATACATTGTAGAACATACCAAGGGGGTGCCTTAGACTTGGGTTAGGAATGTTCGGAGTCCAGGGTTAAATTCTTAGTCCTTTGGAGCTGGCCTGAGTGGGCTAAGTCTCCTGAAAAACAGTGGGGCGGGTGAAGCATTCAAAGATTAGTGGGATGGGTAATCAACATGAAGCAACCAGAGGAGCCACACGTCCTAATTATAAAATTAAACCAAAAAACCAAGAAGAATGCACTGCAAGAACATAGGTTGCATAACTACGTAGTTGTTCATAAGAACTCCAACGTATGCAGTTCCCTGCCCATTAAAGATTGAAACAAAAAGACAGCTCCTTGTTTTTCACCGAATTAGCTCGACAAACAACAAGCAAAGAGTTATTCTAGAATCAAGTAACGTTGAAGATTAGAAACAATCGCGAACTCGTGGTGTAAGCCAAGAACTAAGTGGAATTATAATTAAACATTTCTATATTGAATGATCGCTCAAAACGAAGATAACCCCCTTACTTAACCAAGTTTTGATAACTCGGTTATCAATCAGTACACTATTTATGTTCTATATCACCATATGATCTTGAACATAAGATGATCAGGAGGATCATTAGCAGTTGAAACTTGAAATGGTTCTATTGGCACTATTCTTACGCAGGAACTGAACAGAAATAAAATAGTTTAAAGTCAAATGATCATGATCATCTTACCTTTGGAATGGCAGGATTCACACTTGGCAGTGCCTAGTTCTTACTATTTCCCCTCTTCTTCAAACAAACAGAAAACCTCTCCAAACTCTTTTTTGGCTCCATCGCCAAATGTCGCCAAATGTCTACCACAATTCCCCACTTCAACATATTTACCCACAGCACCGACTCCTTGTTTTCTTCCGTAATGCCACCAGATTCCTCTCGATCTCCGCAGCACTCATCACATTTCTTCTTACACCGGGCTCCAAAATGCGCTTTGCGACCAGTCCGGTTGATCCTGCCACTGCCGCCGCCAGAAGCACCTGCCATATCGAAATCGAAAAGTAAAAACAGAACCGCAGTGTTGAAGAGAAAGAGAGAGAAGATGATTTCGAAGAAATGGTTGCTGGTGTGGTGGGGCGCCGCCGTTGATGGTCAGAGCCACCGCGACACTTCATCGAACTGATTTGGAAAGAACTTTCAGAGGACTGTGTCACGCTTCCCGCTTTAAAGCGCCGTCCCCACGACGGGATACATCAAAATTAAAATTTTCATTTTCAATTTCGTGGGCCATTGTATGGGCTCGGTCACTTCGTATGGCCCAATTATTTGGGCCTACATTGAGTGTAACGAGTTTGTAGTTTGGTTTCAACCAAAGTTTTAATTTACTTCATTCATTTTGATTTATTAAAATTAGTCCCTTAATAGTCCATAAGAATCATATTTTATCATAAGCTTTATTACATCATATAACTTCCGTCAAATCATAGAAACTAAATTTATACCTCTCGTGAGAATGATAATTTATTCTATAATTTGATTCGTTTGACGAACAAACAGTTCACTTCCTAACTATGAAAGTATCATTGAATATTTTTTATTCTATAATTTGATTTACTTGACGAACAAACAGTTCACTTCCTAACTATAAAAGTATCATTGAATATTTTTTATTTTATAATTTGATTCATTTTATAATTTGATTCACTTGACGAACAAACAGTTCACTTCCTTGACGAACAAACAGTTCACTTCCTAACTATGAAAGTATCATTTCCTAACTATGAAAGTATCATTGAATGTTTTTAAATCTCTAACATTCTTCAAACTTTTAGAAATATAGTTAAAAGAGTAATTTTTATGTTTTTTTTTTCTTTTCTTTTTCTAACTAGTTTAGAATTTCAAAATTAATTTCTTTTTCAGAGAAAAAAAAAAACCCAAAATCCCAATACACATTCCCCAAAGTATCTTACATTATTAAGATAAACCTCAGTCAATAATCATCTAATTAAGCTTATAAATATTACGTTAAATTATAAATTCAGACCTTCGAGAAAGTTATAATTTAATCACTATAGTTTGATGAAAAATATTATCTACCATGCCATAAGGACTATTTACGAAGTTTTATCAAATACTAAGTTTACTTTATCAATTTACACTCCGACATATCCTGAAATATCAAATTCTAGTATTTGATCTGCAAAAGGCAAAGCTGCGTAGTGATTGGACCAAATATAGAAATGTACGGATCGACTGTGTATGGATCACTGGCTAACTGGCTAAGGCGACTAAGCCGGTTGGCTGAAAGGAAAGTATCCCAATGAGAATTAAGAAACAAAGACATAGCATATTCAATCCAGTAGGAGATTAAAATTAGGTCTATTTTAGTATATTTTAGTAGAGAAGATCTCGCTACCCACATAAATGAAAAACTGTGCAGGTACCTTAATAAAACATTTCAAACTATGTTTATAAGTTAAAGTATTAAATGATCAATGTTTATACCTAATTAAGGCTGTATATGAGCAGAAATATCACGCAGCCAGTAAGTAAAGTCTCTTCAGTAATCTGCAATGGTTAATTGATCCCTTGCAAAGCTGGTTTCTTTGGGTGTTTTCATATAATATCATAACCTGGTTCTCCTGAAACAACATTTTCATCAGCATTCTTGGCTCTCCTGAAACAAAATCAAAGATACAAACCCAATAAATTTACCAGAAACTGAGATAGCAGGTTAAAATTTGCAGCCATTGATAAGTAGAACACGATTTCTATAGGTGTTCGAATTAGCTTGCGCATATCTCGACTAAGGTTAGGAAATTGCTTCCTTATCCTACATATTTGACATGGAAAGTACTTATATCCTGCATTGCTGGCTATCCGGGATGGCTGCCACGAGAGCCAAACAGATTTCGACAAGATTTAAATCAAAGCAAACTCCTATGATTTGATACAATTACAAGGGAATGGAAGAAGAAAAGCCAGACATGTATACCAGACAGTGTTTCTTCAGCCACACTGTTTGACTTTACTATCAGCTGGATTTTTCTTCAACACTACCCAAACAATCTTCAATAACGATGGACAACATAATCTATTCCACCTAGTATGAGATGTGGGTAACATAAATAAGCAAACTGCGCCAGAACTCAAAACTCGAGAAGCTTTTCCTTTTGGTATATCTTTGCAATAGAGTAACGGGTTCATGCAATTTCTTATCTTTCTACCAACCTAAACATAACTTAATTGGTTAAGACATATACTCTCGATCAAGACTTCAAAATCTCAAATTCTCGCACCTCACGTGTTATTGAACGCCTAAAAGAACTTCCTAAGAAGATAGCCGCCATCGGTTGCAGTAACAACCAGAATCCATGTTATCATAGTTTATTCCAACCATCGCTATCTATCTAGTGACTTTCTAAATCAAATTGGCATATTAGCATGCCTCAAAGCTCAACAACCAGTAACAAGAAGGAACATCAAACTGTACTCTCAAATCCTTGATACAAGAACGAAGATAAGAGACAACAAGCTAACCAGAGAACTAGAAATCGAGGACAGATTGAGAACTATATATTCTCTCTCAGATTCTTACACCCATCAAAATATATAAATAATTAAACCTTATAGGTGACTTAAGAAATCCAGCTTGGGTGAATGATCGGGTTATATAAGAGTGCAAAATAAATGGAAAAATGAGATCCAAAAAATTAGGAAAATGCATTTCAAAAGCTAACTTCGATGCTATTTGGTTATTGAAACAAATTTGGCTAAATGACTAGCACAAGAAAGTAGCTCCTCTCCCTATCGGGGCTTATGCACACCTTTCTTATGCCATGGGGTTGGGAATACTGAATTTAGCTACCAACCCTAGTAAGTACATGAAAAACCTTTCTCCCCTTTCTCTAACAATCTCGTCCGCTTTGAAGGGGCCTTGGCCTAGCTTACTAGGCACTAGGAGCATTACGATCTGCAGCTCAAATGGTACCTTATGAAGTCTCTACCCGGTTTATTCTTATTGTGCGCCTTGTGAGCGCGTTTGGATTCGCGAAGGCAATCGCTCGGATGTTCTCCTAACCCAAACCGGGAACAGACAGGAGGAAATTTTTATAACTTCAAGAAGTGCATGCAGAAAAAAGTGACACTTCAGATTCCAGCAACGGCATGTATAACAACCTTTCGGGCTAGCAGAGATTTCACAAAATACTATGTCCACTACAAAGATAATTGATTCTTAATCTCCTATGATATCACCTTCAAACATTCTCTAAAAGAATTGGTACCATATAACATTCAATATCTGATCAAAGTAAAGTTTTTGTCATAACAAAACCAATGAATATTCAGCAGCTAGTGGATACAATGATCATTATAAAATCAATGAGTAAAACAAAGCATGCCCGATTAGGCAATGTGAAGTTAAAGCACAATTTTCAATTTACTCTAAGATTGAAAGATATACCTTCTCACATATCTGATCCCACTCGATCAATCGCACTTACAATCCAACTTTTCTCTAGCAGCTCTTGCATTATCATACTCAAATTTCAAAACATTGCTTATGTGAGAAGTGTCCTTGATGTAAAACTTCCTGCCAAACTGGCTCTCCTCAATCGCCGGGAAGTAGCAGAAAAGCACAGAATTTACAACCCAGAACCACAGAGCTCCAAGAAACATTCCGAGCGTAGCACCAGCAAAAACCTGCGCAACACTATGGTATCCCAAATACACCCTCGAATACATCGTCAAGAGAGCCAGAGACCAAGCCAGTAGGTTCATTATCCACTTGCTTTCAGTTCCCCATAGTCCAATTCCTTTATACGACAATAAAGTGAAGTACATAGCGAAGAAAAACATATACTGAGAGTGACTAGAGGGCCAGCCATGCGAATCACACATTTCCAATAACGCACAAGTCTCAGGGCGAGCTTGCTGAACAGACGTCTTGATGAACTCATTGATGAATTGAGAGATTAGGAGCCCTAGCGCGAAGAACATACCCTGTAATTCGCGGCGGAAGATGAAGTGAGAGAGAAATCCGCCGAGGCTGATGAAGACAGGGACTAACGATACCCAAGCCAAGAAATGGCCGAGCTGATCTCCCCTCTGGTACCGGACATGCGTTAAGGACACCGCCTTAAGTGGTGCAGTCGCCATGGAAATGGAATATGGCTAGATTTCAAGATTGAATCAGAGGTTAATACGTGAGATCTGAGGAAAATCGGAGTGATTTGGTCGAATGGATCAGAGGATTGTTCACGACAGAGAATCAAAGTGCGAAATTGCGATGGAAAGTTGAAGTCCTGGATGGAGAAAGAAACTACGACCGAAATGAAAATATAAAAAAATTATAATAATAACTTTATCTCAATCATATCCTTTTATTAATACTTTGTTCTCAAGAATACTTGAATTTTCACCACAAAAAATAATAATAATAATAATAAATAATAATAATAATAATAAAAAAACGTTAGCATTTAATTTTCAAAAATACCTTTTAATTTTTTAATAGTATTTCGAAATACCCTACAAAATTTATTACACGTTTAAAATTTCATAAAAATAGTTCGCCTTACTTTTAAAATAAAGTATTACATTTTTCATTAAAAAACTAACGAAAATTATATTTTTAATTTTTTTTTAAGTTTAAGAATATTATTAAATTTTTTAAAATCTAAAATACTTGTCATACCAACTTTATGAATATTTTTATTAATTTAATATATAAAATAAATTAAAATATATATTTATAATTACATCTCAAAATAAAAAAGATTACAAAACTAAAATTAAAAATTATATTTTAATTTTAAAATGCATGGTTGTAAAAAGTAAATAAAGAAAAAAGAAAAATTCATAGGTACAATAAATATTTATAAATTTAATTTAAAAAAATAAAAAAGATAAAAAAAGTCGTGTAATTACAAGGCCTAAAAATGCGAATATAAGAACTTTGGGCTATTTTTGCAATTTTTTTGCCCTATATTTGGACGTTTAAAAACCGGAGGGAGCATTTTGCAATTTACTAAAGAAAAAGAAAGGAAAAAATGGGTAAAACTATGTATCTGAAAGTTGCTATGGCAAAACATGGTAAATAACAAATCTTCTGGGGAGACATTTATAATTTCGGCAATTTGCAAAAGCAAATAAATAGAGGCGGCAATCTGCAGACATTTGGTACTTGGCCCGCGAAAATTCCATTCGGAATTTCCTATTGCGTCACAAAAGTTCCAATCCATTTGTTAGTTCTGCTCTGAAAATTCATCCCTTTCAATGGCTGACGAGTGCCTGGCTTCTGCAAGAAGAGATCCAATCAAGTCTTCAGGTACGTTCTTTTACTCTATTGACTATCTTTTTAAGGATTGATTGCTATATTTGAATTCATATTGATTTTTTGCTGCTATGAGTTCGAATGTGAAGAAGATTATTGATGCTGTTTCCGCCGACTGAATTTAGTGCTGTTGCGTTCGATATGTTAGCTTGCTTTTTGGATGATTAGTAAAGAAAGAGGAGATTCGAAGTTAATTTATATATAATCCACAAAGAATCAGTCCAGTAGGAGATCGTTTTTGATTTTGAAGAACTTTGTTCGTAACTAATGCTGAGAATGCATTTATATTCTGTTATCAGTTGGGAATGTTGCGGCTCATCGAAGACGGCAGCATGCCCTTACAGTGGGGAAGGAAAGAAGAGAATCGTTGATGCGTGCGAAGCGTATCTGTAGAATTGGGATTGGTGATGTTGCTCTCGAAAATGAAATGATGATGGACGAAGAAGTGTCAATTTTGGAAGTTCAAACTTCTTCAGCAGTGGACGAGCTAAAATCTGCAGTTGCATACCAGTACGTTGGTTTTTTACCTTTGTTTTATCCCCAGATTTAGGAAAAAAATTTCTCTCATGTTTCATATTTGAAATCATACTTGGGTTACCTGTCATGCCACAACTATCTTAACTATCCAGTGGGAAGAATTGCTGTAGGATGAAGAATTTGAGAGCCATGAGGTGCTATTAAGTAGTTTATTTTCGCATAACTACTTGGTGATATTGGATTAATGTAATTAACCATCTAGTTTGTGTGCTTACCTTAACTAGATTATTGCTTCAGAGTTAAATTAAGTACGGCCGCTATCTAGCTTTTTCTGAGGGTTCTCTTGTTTAAAAGAAAAACTGAAGTATTTATACCATCCCTTGAAGGCGATGGGTGCGGTTTCGTTCCTCAATACTTGGAATGGGCACCAAGATGGGGAATCATTTGTAATCGTGACTGGACTCTCAGATATAGAAAGAATGAACTGAATTGTGAAAAGCACATCAAATATTGTCTTGCTTCCACATGCTGTTCATTTGTCTTAAGGAATAGTACAAAAACCTCTTATTGTCCGGATAAGCAAAATGTTGGTTTGAAAAATTATTGAAGGTTGAAATGGACAGCATCGAGGATCGTTTTCATCCCCTTTGTTTTAGGTGAAGGGGAGATGGTTTGATCCTATGGTGAACAATAATGCAGTAAGTGATAAGCATTTCTTAATTCTGTTTGTGGTTTTTAAATGACCCATCCTCCACTACTGCTATTTAAATGACTGATGAATTAAATTGTTGATAAAATTGGTTTTAAGGTCTTGCTGTTTTTTAAATTGTAGGGGAAAAGGTGCAATGCAGAAGAGAATTCATGCCCTTCGTGAGCTAAGACGCTTGTTGTCAAGATCAGAATTCCCTCCAGTTGAAGCCGCTCTTAAAGCAGGAGCAGTATCTCTGTTGGTGCAGTGTCTATCATTCGGTTCCTCTGATGAGCAGGTCAGATATAGCTTGTGCTTGTCTAAGATTGTGCTTTGATTGGTTTGAGTTAAGTGCACTATAGGTCCAACTCATTATGCTCGATATAGTTTTCTCACAAGGCTGTCCAATCATGTCAAGTTGAAAAGGAAATGGAATAAGTGATTCTTTACTTGGTGTATCCTGGACGTGGTCATTGTCGACTGATGGGGTTTTTGGAATCTGATTGTCATTGAATATATGTTCATTGACTGTTGAACTTACATGGCCGATTCAGCACGGATTGCATGGATTGCATGGATTATCTCTATTGGCCTTGTAAAGTACCGGATTGTTTATTGACGAATATTTGTTTTTAAAAACCCTACTTCTATACTGCAGTTGCTTGAAGCAGCCTGGTGCCTAACGAACATTGGAGCTGGGAAGCCTGAGGAGACCAAATCTTTGATGCCAGCGTTACCCTTGCTCATTGCTCATCTTGGAGGTTCACATTACCAATTATTTTCTTTTCCTATTTCTATTGAAAGCTGGCATCTCATATCTTGTTTCCAAATTATGGTTTTCAATTTAGCCGTTTATTTGATTCACTGTAATCTTCCTCTTACAATTACGTGCTGCAAGTATGTTCTCATTATTATGTATGATTATTTGCCCTGCCGTTATATGCATCTGATCACTGGTTGGCCAACGCAACAGGCAGACTTAGTCTGTACTGGCTTGTGTATTTTAACGTATCCGAGGTAGTATCTTAAATTTTGAATATTTACAATGCTATGAAAAATTGGGTTCATTCTTTGCTTTGTCTAGCTTTTATTTCATTTTGACTGTACTTTCTTGTGCAGAAAAAAGTTCTCTGCTTGTTGCAGAACAGTGTGCATGGGCATTGGGAAATGTTGCTGGTGAAGAAATGGAGTTGAGGAATATTCTGCTTTCTCAAGGAGCTTTACTGCCACTTGCAAGAATGCTGTTTCCAAACAAAGGTTCATCTGTTAAAACAGCTGCTTGGGCACTATCCAACTTAATTAAGGTTTTGTGTTTTCTATTACTAGCATTACAAGCCTTCTCTGTGCGCAACTACATGAGGTCATTCACGAAATATGTCCTCTTCTGTTTTCTCATGTAGGGACCGGATTCCAGGGCTGCTACAGAACTCATTAAAATTGATGGGGTGTTGGATGCAATTATTAGACACTTGGGAAAAGCGTAAGTGTTGTTATCAATTTGGGGTTCATATATTTTGATAAAAAAAAAAAAGGATTTAATATAATGATTGATTTGTCCCTCTTTTGTATCTCGACTTATTTGCTCTGTCATTAAGCTGTCTCTGTGCAAAATGATACTGTATCTTCGATGGTTATCTACATTTCTGGAGGATAGTTATCACTAACTTAGGTAGAGATAAGATTTTGGAACATGCAAATTTCCCTTGCAATCATTATAATTGTCTAACTCAAGAGAAGATATCCTGTCTTCAAGACCTTGTTTATATAATGTTAATACTGCTGCTATTTTGTTGTGGAATGTTTCTAAGATTGTTTAGATGGACAGGGCTTTAACTATATTCAAAATTACAAAGTGCAGGGATGATGAGCTGGCAACTGAAGTTGCATGGGTAATTGTGTATCTTTCAGCACTCTCAAATGTTGCTACCAGTATATTGGTGAAGAGCGAGGTTCTCCAACTACTTGTAGAAAGATTATCAACATCAAATAGTTTGCAATTGCTTATTCCGGTAATGTCAAACAATGTCTGTATTCTAAGATTCACTTTTCTGATTACAGGCTAATTTACCGTGCATTATCACGAGATGCCTAACGTACTTTCATGAAGGTGTTAGTTATCTCCTTCTCTCTTTCAATGGCCTAACTTGAGTTGTCCACGACTCCCCCTTTCAAGCTTTTCTTTCCTGATTAATTATGGTTGTAGTCTTAAATTAAAAAAAGATTATGCTTGTAGTTTTGTGAGGTCATTATCAATGAGTCATAATTTGTATTGATTATGTAACATAGTTGCAGACGTTTTCCTTTCCATGTGGTTCTTCTTTAGCATAGAAATGATGTAATTTGCCTGGATCAAGTCAATTGCCTGATGAGAGCTTTATAAATGATTTCATATGTTTCATGGTATGGCTACTAGGAGAATGCTTCCTTATGTTTTCCTCTTCTGAAAAGATTTTGAAGCTGTAGTTGAATTGCTTATTGTTTTCAGATCCACTGTGTAGAGTATACATTAACACTGTCTTCTAGTTGGATATCCTTTGTAGCGATTCAATGTTTTTGATCAATTATTTTGTGGGTTTTTGATTATCTGAAAAATGATGTCTTAAATAGGTGCTTCGAAGTTTGGGCAACCTTCTGGCTGTGGATTCACATACAATTTGTAATGTACTAATTCCTGGACGTGAAATTACAGGCAAGTGGTTTACTTTCTTCTCTTGCTAGGAGGGTATCACAATACTCAGACTCCAATGAACAACAAATGAGGAAATAATGATAGTGACTAGTGAGATTTGAATAGAATACAATTTTTTTTTTCAGGTAGTGTTTTAGAAGTCCTGATAAAATGCTTGAAAAGCGAACACCGAGTTTTGAAGAAGGTATATTTCACTACTTCGTAAAATATTACCATCTCCGCACAGTTTCTGGACTTTTGAGTTTCTCATCTGAATCCCTACCGTAACGTGCAGGAAGCATCTTGGGTACTGTCTAACATTGCTGCGGGCTCGATGGAGCACAAGCAATTGATATATATTAGTGATGCAGTACCCTTGTTAATACGCCTTCTTTCATCGGCACCATTTGATGTACGAAAGGAAGTAGCATATGTACTGGGAAATCTCTGCGCTGCGCCTGATGAAAGTGGTGAAGGAAAACCAAAATTGCTTGTTGAGAACTTGGTTTCTCTTGTTGGCAAAGGATGCCTTCCGGGTTTCATTGACTTGGTAAGATCTGCTGACACGGAGGCTGCAAGGCTAGGATTTCAATTCTTGGAGCTGGTGAGTATATCTGATTGTTCATATACAGTGTTCAAATTGGTATTCTTCTCGTTTGTTATTTGTCACAATTGTTGGGCTTTGCTGGGTTAGAATTAGAAAGCATCTCATCTTTCCCTCGCATAACTAAATCCTGTGTCACCTTTTTCTTCAAACTGAGGACGTTGACCGTCTCTTCTGGGCGGAGCTAGGAAAGAAGGGAAGCATTTGGCACCATAGCTCGTCTCTTTTATATGTGTTTCTTACTATTCTCTTAAGATCCATCTAGTTGGTGGCATCCGTTCAATTGGTGTCCTCGACTAGGTGGTTAGAGATTTGAGTCCTCTCCTCTTTGTTTGGTTATGAACTTTTTACATAAGTTTTTTAAAATGAAAAAAAAAAGTTTCCAAAAACTTATTTTTGTTTTTGTAATTTGAATACAAATGTTTTATGTAAGAGAAATGATGAGAAAACAAACACGATTTTAAAAAACCGAATAGTTATCAAAGGCAGCGTTCATATTGAAGAGGACTTCTAGAAAAGTCCTTGTTCTGCTCCATAATGATCATTCATTTTCTTGTTGTCTATCCAAAGGTATTAAGAGGCATGCCAAATGGGGAGGGCCCAAGGCTGGTTGAGCGGGAGGATGGCATCGAAGCGATGGAGAGATTTCAGTTTCATGAAAACGAAGACTTGAGAAACATGGCAAATCGTCTGGTCGACATGTACTTTGGCGAGGACTACGGTCTCGGTGAGTAGGAAATTTGTGGTTTTTAAGATTTAGGCTCACTGTTTTTGTAATCACAATTATGTACTTGGTCATTATCGAGTGCTTTTCGCTCCATCTATCAGCTACTTTATGAAATCCATCATCCAGGGAGGAAGATGGAATTGAGCTTTGTGTAATATCATCATTTTTTATTTGCAAGTTTTCTGATGAGCTTGACCAGAGCATGTCTTGAAAAGTGTTTATTAGGAGGGAAATGGTTTGCAAAATTGTGTGCAGTTGACATGGGATTTTGAAGTCCCTTGTCATCTCAATTGAACTCTTCTTTTTTCACAATAAGTTATAGAACCGATGGTTTATGGATTCTTCTTGGGTGAGATATATTAAATTTTGACTATACTATTTGAATTTTTTATTTTTGGATTTATATTTTATTTCGAATTTTAAGCTCAAAATTAGTTTTTAACTTGCCTAGTATTATTAGGCTATCATTCAATTAGCTAAAAATCTTCGATCAAGAGTAAGAGGTTTTATAACAAAAGGCTCGTTGTTAGTAGATATTGTCCCCAAATGTATCCACTTGAGAGAGTTTTTTGCACTCTTGTAAAGAATGTTTTGTTGCTCTCCACTTCATGTGTACTCTAAAAAAAAAAATTAATCAATTAATCGATTGGTTGGTTTTGGATCTATTCACTTCAAGTGTACTGTGATGAAAAAAAATTAACATATTGGTTAAAGATAAACATAATCGGTGTGATTAATAAGAAAAAATGTAAAATTATAAAATGTAAAATTTAAAATCTAAAAATATATTAGATATTTAAGAGATTAATCACATTAATTATATTTAATTAAACCAGCAATTTTACGGATAATTCAATTTTGTTGGAACCCTAATTTTGAGTTCTAAGAAAAAAAAAAAAAAGGGAGGGAAAGGTTTTAACTATGAAAGAGGAAGGGTATATTAAAATCCTTAGGGTTTTGGCGCCGACGATCAAATTCACGGCCCTGTTTTTGCTAGGGTTTTGAAGCCGACGATCAAAAGGAGATCATCTAGGTCGGTTGCTGAATTTAGGGATTCAAGTTTCTGGAAGTTTAAAGGAGAACGCAATATTCGTGAGAGACGCAGATTTGTTAGCCCATTGTAATGGAGAAAGGGGCTTCTTTCTTGTTCGCCGGCATTCATTTTGACAAGAAGAGGTTCGCCGCAGATTTTTCTAGGTTCGAGGTAAACGTCTGTAGCTGCGTTGTTGACTGTTTTATTATGAGAAAATTGAAGGATTATGTGAGGTAATTCAACTTTGTCATTTTAACAGGGCAAAAAAGAAAGTGATAATGGAATCGAAGGTTTGAGTTCCATTGCTAATAGTGATTTTGAAGTAATTGAGGATTCAACGCCTTCGGAGAAGAGGAAGAGGAAGAGGAAATCAGCGGCTACGGGTATATTGCCGAATGCTTTGAATTGCTTGTGGCCAATCGCGTCATTGTAAGCCGTTGAGCTTAGTTTTATCACTTTTTTTTTTCTTATGTAGAATCGGTGGAGGGGTTCAGCGTCTTCAGGGATTCAAAACTAACTGTAGCTGCTTCAGTGAATGAGGAAAATCATCCATCTGAAAACGATCCTTCCGAAGAGAGGAAGGAATTTCATCGGAAACTTGAGGTACTAATTACTTCTTTTGTACTTCCATTGTTTCCCTTTGTGAAGTTTGGTTTTAACTTATATACCACTTGGTCTCTGTCCATCGTTCATTCCATATTTCTTCGATGAACATAGAGAGATGCGCTTTACCGGAAGAAGTATAATATTCACGTCTCTGGGAACAATGTTCCATCGCCACTTCAGAATTTTGCAGAGTTGAGCACAAGGTACTAAATTCTATACTAGCTGGATGGTTTTCTGTGTTCATACGTCAATGGTGATTTTTTTTTTTTGTTTTTGCAATTCTAAATATCTTTTCCCCTTATAGGTTCTGATAAGTATGACTGAAGAATGATAATTGTATGCTTTGCTTGCAGATATGAATGCGACCCATACATACTGCATAATCTTGTAGAACTTGGGTTTAAAGAGCCAACACCAATTCAAAGGCAGGCTATTCCAGTCCTCTTATCCGTATGATCTTCCATTACTATCTTACTATGTGGAGTAAACTTCATCTTTCAGGAGTTATGTTCCAATGTATTGAGAAAAAGATAGGATCTATTGTTGTAACCTGATAAGAATTGGGTTTTTAGGTCGACTATTCTGGTAATTTGTTTGGTTTTAGTTGTTTTTTTTTTTTTTTTTTTCTGATCAACGTTTTCCTTTATAGGGCCGTGAATGCTTTGCTTGTGCCCCTACTGGTTCTGGAAAAACCCTGGCTTTTCTGTGCCCTGTGCTTATGAAACTGAAGGTAATAGTCTTCTAAGTGCCATTTTTATATTTCTTGAATGGTGTTCTGTTCTGATCTTAGTTTTTTTTTTTTTTTTTTTTACCAGGATCCATCAAAGGAAGGTATCCGTGCAGTTATACTTTGTCCAACACGAGAATTAGCATCTCAGACAACAAGGGAGTGCAAAAAATTGGCTAAAGGGAAAAAATTCTCTATCAAGTTGGTTACAAAAGAAGTTATTAGACATGCTGATTTCTCAAAGTTCTCATGTGATGTACTCATATCCACTCCACTTAGGTTAAGGCTTGCTATTCGGAAGAAGAAAATTGATCTCAGTAGGTAGGTGTTGACTAGGGGCATCAGCATGTTGTCAATACAAGACCAGCCTAAATATAACTCATCTCTCATACAGGGTTTGTTGTTTTGCAGAGTGGAGCACCTTGTTCTGGACGAATCTGATAAGTTATTTGAGCTTGGCTTGTTAAAACAGATCGATACCATTGTAAAGGCGTGCTCCAATCCTTCAATAGTTCGCTCATTGTTTAGTGCTACTTTACCTGACTTTGTTGAGGATCTTGCTCGCTCAGTAATGCATGATGCTGTTCGGGTTATTGTTGGTAGGAAGTAAGTTCGCTACTATCATGCTCATCCCAAGATCATCGATTCACATGATATTCTTCTATGTTTTGAGAAAATAACTCCCATATTTCTGATACGTCAATAGGAATACCGCTTCTGAAACTGTCAAGCAAAAGTTGGTTTTTGCCGGAAGTGAAGAAGGGAAACTTCTTGCACTTCGTCAAAGTTTTTCGGAGGTTCGTTACATGTAAATTGTAATGTTGAACTTTTTCTTTGAGTAGAAAGTGAAGAGCTTATCTTTCATCGTGAACAAAAGTCCTTCTTAGCATTCATTCATTGCATGAAATGTCAGCCTGGTTCTAATTCCTGTATCCAGTAGGATACTTATCTGACAATCTTTTGACAGTATTTGTTATTTTGATCTTACTAGACAATGCATTGACTTTGTTGCTTTTGTGCTTAACAGAGTTTGAATCCACCAGTACTGATCTTTGTGCAAAGCAAGGAGCGGGCAAAAGATCTTTATGGTGAACTGGCATTTGAGAATATCAAAGTGAATGTCATCCATTCTGACTTATCAGAGATAGAGGTAATCATTTCATCATCATCTGCTAAAATTTAATATTTCATGGCAGTCAAAAGTTGGTCAAAATGCCAAGCATACTATTCGTGCAGTTCTAAATTGGAGTCTGAAACAATAACAATGCCTAACAGCTTTTAATCCTTAGTGACCTTACGTGAAGCCAGAAAATGAAGAACACGATATTATTCGTTGTACTCCTATGTGGGGCCTTGCCCCCCTAAAAGATAGAACATAAAACAAAATACTATTAAGTTTTTTGTCCTTTCACTTCTTTTAGTATGCTAGACCTGAGTTCGTTTAATGAGCAATTGCTGAAAATATGAACTTTCAGATGATTTTTATTTGTTCATCACATATTATATTATTATAAGGGGTCTATACAATGGAACTACCATAGGATGGCCTAGTGATAAAATAGGGCAAGGTAAATAATAAAGGGCTTAGTGAGAATGAGTTCAACTCATGGTAGCCACCTATCTAATATCTTACTAATGACCTTTGCAACCAAATATAGTATGGTCAAGTTATTTTCCTGTGAGAATAGTTTAGGTGCGCGTAAACTGATCTAGACACTCATAGATGTAAACAAAAATCCATTCAAGGGACACGTGGACTAGAAATGTTTCGAGTCTTTCTATGCCTGATATTCTTTCTTGAATGCAGCGGGAAAATGTTGTTTACGACTTCAGAGCTGGAAAAACTTGGGTGTTAATTGCCACTGATGTAATTGCTCGAGGAATGGATTTCAAAGGGGTTAACTGTGTAATCAATTATGACTTTCCAGATTCTGCCTCTGCATACATTCACCGGATTGGTATGTTCCTTAACATTCTTCAGCTTACTTGACAATGAACCTTGTGTTTAATCCTTAAAAAAATGTTGAAAGATTCATACTCTATATGATGTGGCTGAGTCTAATTTGCATCTTTCAACAGGCCGTTCTGGCAGAGCAGGGAGGAGTGGAGAAGCCATTACATTTTATACAGACGAGGACATTCCATTTCTGCGAAATATTGCCAATGTGATGTCAGCTTCAGGCTGTGAAGTTCCATCCTGGATAACTGAGCTTCAGAAAAAGAAGTGGAAAAAACATAGGCCTAAAAGAGATTCAATCTCAAACAAACCAAAGGATGATGGTGACACCGAGCAGCCGAAAAAGAAGTCAAAAAAACGCAGGCCTAAAAGAGATTCGATCGTGACCAAACCAAAGGGCAATGGTGACTCCGAGCTGCAGAAAAAGAAGTCGAAAAAACAGAGGCCTGAAGGAGATCCAATCCGAAACAAACCAAAGGACAAAGGTGACACCGAGCAGCAGAAACAGAAGTTGAAAAAACGCAAGCTTAAAAGAGATTCAATCTCAACCAAACCAAAGGATGATGGTGTCTCCAAACCACAGAAAAAGAAGTCGAAAAAAGCAGAGGAGGCCTGAAAGAGATTCAATCTCAACCAAACCGAAGAACGAAGGTGAAGCCTAATTTAAAATTGCTACCTCTAATCTATTTCACTTCCCAAAACTTAAAATAAAATATGCCTTTAGGAAGTTCTTGTCCAATGATGTGAAAATGTGTCGATTACATCTAAATTTGTCTCTTAGAAGGTGAGGTGCAAAGGTAGAACAACAATTTTATTTTTATTTATTATTATTATTATTATTATTTTTAATAGCTGCAACTCAAATGTAATAGGTCATCTTGTTTGAAGAATTTGATCATTTGTACATGGTCGACTTAAAAACTCCATTGATATTTTTTGGAAGGAATTTTAGGATTTTTGTGTATTTGAATTTTGAATGTGAATTTTTGTTTGCTAGTTCCATGGACGTAAATTCTTATA